TGCGTATATTATGATATAAAATGAAATTTTATAGCTCGCGGAATCAAACTCGAAACGTACATATCTCGGATGATATCAAATGCGATGTTAAATGTAATACTGTGTCTTGTATAAATATCGATTACGTATATACGTTACATTATTATAACCACAAAATATAATTGGTATATTCAAATCATTTTAGCATAGAAATAATAGCGTTTTGTGCGCATAGAACCAAAAGAGAAAGAAAACATTCGCCGACATAGGTTGGCTTTATATATACGTTTTGGCCGTTTTCAGTTTATAGACGAATATACATATATATATATATATATATATGCACACTGATCTTTTTAATTACAAAATTACAAAATTACATTAACATAACACTTAATGTTGTGCAAACATACGTAGGCGGATAATTAATTTAAAAGAACCGTCCGCCGGATCCTAATGAAAAATCCAAGCTTGCTGACCTACATTTTACAATCCGCGTACAACACGCAGCAGCGCGGATTCTCAGTTACAAATACGGCTTTACTCCCGCGTATATTTCTGCGATCTTTCCCGGCGCATCGCGAACGTTTCGAGGCCGAAACGCCCATGCGAGGTTCAAGAATACGGGAGGGAGAGGTATCGATATCCCGGTCAAGAGTACCGATGTCACCGTAGCCGATGTGACATGTATGCACGTGTATATATACTTTGCCATCGCTATGTCGCGTCTTCCGCACGCTCCCGATTTTTCCCCAGACTTTGTCGCGCTTTCAGCGAGCGGGACACTCGTATTGTGTTTCCGCGGGAGAAGCATGGGAAAATGGGAGGCTGCATCGGCGGGAACAAGATTGACGATGCGGGAGGATTAACAAGACGCTGACAATGCGCGCGCGGACATTCGACACTGCGTGTCGGCAGAATTTTGCTCTTCGAAGAGTGTCCCATCTCCAATAAATGACCCGCTCGTAATAGGGAAATGTGCGTGTATCCTGCTTTTTCCATCGAGTCGCACAAATATTTTTTATATTCTACGGCAGAGAAATGTTTGACCTGTGAAAAAGAGAGAACTAATCTTTCTCTCTACCGCGAGTTTATTAAATTATTAATATTAAAATGGAATATAGGAAGATTGAAGAGCTAAGTATTTTAATGTTTAATTCGATATATATAATTGGAGGTAATGAAGATATTTCCAATCGTTATCTCGAAGCGTCCTACATATGCTAATTCTGCGAGATACGATTATAGTATTTGTAAAAACACGATTCCTCCATTCTCGCAATCTGATACAGATATACTTGCATTTATATCACCGAACTCTCGCTCTTTGCTCCGCTTCGCATATCGCGACGCTCGCTGTTTTGCCATCTTGTAGGTCTTCTGTGGAGCATCGTACGGCCTCTCCGGTCGAGAGAGGCTTAACATCGGAATATTTTCTGAAAACCTAGCAACGAGGCCGTTTTCCAACGAGCAGCAGCGACGTATAGATGGAGCGAAGGATAGAAGAAGAGCAGCGAGATAAAAGAGGAAAAGGATAACGACCGCGATAGTAATACCAACGATAACCGGAAAGGCAATTCAATCCGAATCGGCAAAGATAGAACCGTTGCGCCCAAACGTTTCCATTACCGGAACAGGGGATGAGAAAAAAGAACCGACGCGCGCGAGCCGACCTGGTACCCGGAAAACGCGACACTGTCGCGGGTAATCGCTTGGCAATATGCGCGCAATAGCACAGAGACGAGAGCAGGGTTGATCCTATCCGCGAGACAGGGGAGGAAGTAGTTGCGTACCCCCGGCACACAAGGACGCCGATGTGCTTAAGGAAGGTTATTTGAGTTTTAATCCAGAAAACAAGTTAAGCAGTTAATAAGTAAGAAATTACAGTATAAGCTGTTGTACGTGGCTCGCTTCTTTAATCGCGAGATACACGATTAATCTCGTAATAAATGGCTGAAAAAAGTTGAGATATAAAAGAGAAATAAAAGTAGATTTAGCTTTTTTTCAAGCTGAGATTCTTCTTCGTCTTGACAATCCGCGAATATCATTTTTTACGTCAATGACTTTTCTCGGAGAATACGCGGAAAATTTTCCGTGAGAAATGAAACGAATATAGAAAGACTTTCAAGTTACATAATATATCATTCGGGTTTTTTTCAGTTCTTTCAATATAATGTAACATTTTTAGAATCTTTCACGAATATCGGTTTCAATGTATATATATATATATATATTATATTCTTCAGAATAAATATGAGGATATATATATATATATATATATATATATATATACGCAATTCGTTTCTCGCGGGATTATAAATGTTTCAATTTTCTCTTATTCGATGTACAGAGAATTCGCAACGAAAAGATTAGAGATATCCGTCACTTGGTAACTCGTATTGTATAATAAGTGTATAAATTTGCCGGCGCGCGTGTTTATGGGGATTTCTTAAGTAAGAAGTAGACGGAGCACATCTCGGATATACTCGGATCACTTCCGATTTACGCTGAGAAAAAGCTGTACAAGCGGGTTAGAAGCTATCCTGTAGAACCTGCATAACGCCAGCAATATCCTTTAACGGGGCAATGTAGGATAATCGAGGAATTAAAGTCTCAGGCGGTGATTTCCTTCGAGTATTGCCAGAGGTTAACGCGAAAGCGTAGGCTGCCAGTATTATTTCCACCCTTCTTACGGATAAAACTAACAATTAAAGCAAAATCGCGTCTCGAGAGATCAAGTTATCTATAATAAAATACCTATCGTCTCGTGTCCTCTTTTCCTTTTTAGACACATCTATACTAGATTAAATCAATTAGCTTTAAATATCACAATTAAATAAAACTTAAAATATTGCGGAATTAATTATTAAAAATGAAGAAATCAATTATCTCTTTTTATATACCTTATATATGTATATAAAAATATGGAAGGATATTACTGATATAAATTACGTTCGCGGATATATCTTAACGATACAAGGTAAAATCCTTTATTCGAAAATAATTGCCCAATTTAAAAAGGTCAAGAAACAAGAAAAAGGTGCAAAATATTTACGGTCAAGGGTTTGCGTTATCTCTTGGAAAGATTTATAGCTTGTAGCCTCCGATACATTCCTCAAACATCTCAAACGAAAACATCCCCCGGAGATCGGATAACCCGATAAGAGTGAACCGCCACAAGCCTATTGTGAGCGACGTCGATGAGAGGCTTTCGCGCCTCTAGACAGGTCCACATAATGTGTCCGTGTACAAGCAATAATGGCAAATATGAGAGAACATTGTACTGGCCCTGTTGATTCCGCAATACGAGGATATGCGGTTATATAATTCTCATGCGGTACACAGGGGTGTTTCTGATAGACACGCGACTTGTTGATGGGTTTATAGAAACCACACCAATCGCGCGATGATTTATACGGAACGTCTCTCGTAAACACACGCGACAATTCTATCGAAAAGGCTTTTTTGTGCAAATTTTTATATAGATCGCTATATATACGTACGGTTCGCGGTACGTGCAAGCCAAATTGAAATCTCGAAATATCCTAAATGAATTTTTTAAACGGAAAGTGTTGAAATAGCGCCTATTCATTTAGTTTTTGAAATCAGTCCGACGCGAAATAGCTCATTCTGCGCGTCGGGCTAAAAAAAAATGAAATAAATAGTCTATTCAAAAATAATTCCAATGAACGATCAAGTTTCCGCGAAATCCAATTACAGAGCCGAGTTTCGCGGTGGAGTTCAATGGCAGTTCGATTTCGCGCGATCGTGCCGTTTACTCGCATATACGATATTTCTTTTCGCTCCCTTTACGTCTGTCAGCCTGTCTCGTGTCTTTTCCACACACACACATACATATGTATATACAAAAGGCATCTATCGCGCGGGCGGTCGTACTAATTGAGAGTTACGTCGGTCTGTTTGATATTTGACACCGAATTCATTTTCTATTCGGTGCCCTCGCTATTGCAACTAGTAGGAGCTAACACAGCTAACGCGATCTACTAGTCGTAAACTATTTTTAGGTCGTGCATGTGCGCGTTTAGAAAAACAGCTTTACCGCGACAAGCAGACAGGAAGACACGAATAGTGATACACGGGATAATTTATATTTGCTGACTGTCGACACTTTTGTTACGTTTTCCCGCTACGCAAACTCGCGTTTATTTTTCGCTGGTATACACTTAGTACTCTGTAGTCCGATATATATGTAGGAAATGTAAATATTTTTACTTGATTTGGAAATCGTGAAAATAAATACATTGTTCTTGTCAATATTGAAGAAACGGTTAAGAGTTAAATAATTTCAAGCGTATATATTTTATATGGCTGAGAAAAAATTGCAATTACGTATAGGACACCGTGTACATAGTGTATTCGTTAGGGGTCATTAAAAGCGATATATATTATTGCTCTGTGACATTTAAAGCGAAGCATGGCACGAGATATCTAAACAATGGCAGTCAATTACGTTTGTTCGCCTGGAAATATCCATTTCCGTTTTATACGTATAAATGAACAACACACAATTAATGATCATGTATAGTATCAAATTACTTTATTGTATCCGAGCATCATTCTATTTTCATCGTAGTTACACCTGATTACGGTCGTGATCACGTTTATGAATTAATTAAATTAAATGGTGAAAATAAACTTAGTTAATAATATAGATTTAATATTTAAATAGGCAACAATTAATTACACGGTATGCTTAAGAAACTATATGGAAGCGAGGAAAAACCAGATTGAAAACTAAAAAGATATAAAAAATAAATTGATTCCTCGATATTGCAGAATTTGCTGCTCGGTTTACTTTGGCCAACAATATTCGCGATAGTAGACATAGAAAGGAACATCGTCGTGTGTCGCATACGTGTGAGAATTTTTATCGGAGATGATTTTCTTCTCTCCCTCTTTTTTCCTACCCCGTAAGAGTCGCGTGCGCGTGCAGACGATGCCGCCGTTGTGCATAAAACTCAAACGACGCAGATATACACAGTTTGTTTTTCTTTCCACAGTTCAGATATCAGAGATAGCTGCCCGATCGAACTGCCGGATATCGCAACGTAAACATAACGAGAGAACGAGGAAGGAAGGAAGGAAGGAAGGAAGGAAGGAAAGGAAAAGAAGAGAGGAAAGGAAGCGAGGACAGACGCTGTCTAGCGCTGCCGTGACTCGCAGTGATACAATCGCGTTTACAGGCCAACTCGCGGGCTGCCAGCATACAGATTGGCGTCCAGAATAGTCGTAACTTTGGCATCTGACATAAGTTAAGTAAGCATGTATCTTTACGTTTTCTCTTCACATCAAACCGGATGTTGTTCGCTGATGTTACGAGCGAGAACAGAAAAGCGATACAACAAGATATATCTTACATATGCAAATAGTTTGTCAGATTGTATAAAAAGATTCGATTAAAGTTTCCCCCAAATAAGAAACGCGTATTTATATAAAATTTTATATATTACGTTACTAAAAATTTTGGTTTATTTTTTATAATTTATGACCAAGATTTTTAAAAAAACTTGCTAATAAATATCTAATAAAAATTGCATAGAAATGAAAAAAATTATAAATAACTCGTTTCTAAAAATTTCTAACTAAAGACGAGTAGTGAATAAAGTAACGCGCGTTGAATTTTTTAGAATATTTCATTTTTAATCGCTATTTTTCGTTTAACACAGTTTACAGTGACCGAAACACACACGCACACACATCTTTTTTTTTCAAATATATATGTTTGGAAACAATTACAGTTTATTTTAGTTTTATTGAAAGCAACTATAAATACACACGCAAAGCAGTAACAAGGCAAATAGCGTTTACTCTAAATTTGCTTCTGTCTCGTTCGCAAAAATAAGTATATACCCGTACAAAGCTTAATGAAAATTACGTAATCGTAGTGCCTTTAGAAAGCCAATAACGTCGCGGTCAATGGAACACGAGCCGCATCCGGCTAGTAGAAACTAGATCTGGTCGACTAGCCTCGTTAAGCGACGTTAGTTATATCTACGGGCGCGCAACGTAGGGCGATGCTGGTAATTTGGGTTCTCGGTGTCGTTTGCGGTGTACGATTAGACCGGACTAAGATCGCTGGCTTTACGATAAATGATTGATGGAGAGAGCGTGAAAGCGAAGACGGATGCGCTCGAGTAACCGCGCGCTTCATTAAAAGGATACACCGTACCTACAATCTTGCGCGCGGGAGAAACTATCCCTCGAAAATGATCAGCGAAGATAATGTTGATACCCCTTGTCGATATCTATGATTCATGAAACGTGCATGGAATAGTTCGCGCGCGAGAGAGAGACGATCTTCTCGTTCCAGATATACACGGCACGATCCGATATCGGAGCAGCACACTCTTATCCGTCCACTCGTCTGAGAAATACGAGAGTTGCGAGAGTTTTCATTTCCCTCGTCTTCATTTTCACGACTGTTCATTCGTAATAACATCGTAGAGCGTGTACATAAATGAAACATTTTTTCCTTACACGGAAAGAAATTTTTCACAAGATGCTTATACTTTGTCGACGCTTTCGCAAAGTGAAACTGGCTTCCAATATGCTTAAGCACTTGAACGATTTCGTCGCGATACGTTTATATCAAAGCTTGAGAGAAAGAGAGAGATTTGCCAGATTTTGGAATTGATTTATCCACTTGCTGCGTTCGCGATATCTCGCACGAATTTACGTCGGATGATCAGAAAACTCAGTTCTGCTAGCGGTGCGAAACCTGTTCGACAGGCGAACGAAGGAAAGATGAGACTCCCGAGACCATCGTTTCGTAAAATTACTCCTCGTATACTTGTTCAACGATGATGATAAATACCGTGGGTCATTGCGATTGCATTTACGCGAACAGGTTTCCACACGCAAGTGATTATCTCGACTGCAATTCTCGATCGAAGAGAACAGGAGATCCTCGACAGATCGATATCTCTTTTCCAAAACGCGGCATACGATCGTGTTCAATAATAAATCAACAGATGGAAATAAAGTTGAGTCTTTATTATTTCATAAGCAGATAAAAAGAACTTGGCGTGATTAAAATTCTCTATTCTCTGAAATTACGTTGTTATTTAAATATAGAACAGGTATCGATCGCGCGATGCATATAAATAAATGAATCATCCGAAAAGCAAAATCTCTCTCGCCATATATAATTCTCCGCACGTCTAAATAATCGCTGGGAAAAATATCTTAGCCTCTCTCGAATGAGAGCATTTTAAAGAACAAGGGTTAACGTTTGTACATCGCGTCTCTCCGCAATAGCTTCCTTCCGCGCGACGTTAAATAGCGCTGCTTCGTGTATATAAGCGAGTCCGCGATATTAACAGCCCGTGAGAACGGCTCGGTTAGGTTAATGGCATCGTAGGAGGAAGTGCGCGATTACAAAGTCGCCATTTTTTCCTTCTTTTTCACATTCGCCCCTTTCATCCGTTTTTATGTCCTACGATTCGCGTCAGTCGGCGCTTGTTATCGCGTTCCTCGCATCGAGCGTCACTCGAGGAACAATAGAATCGTATCCGATCATTAACGGACGATGGAACGAGGGGTTCAAAGATTCAACCCCGCGCGCGACACAACAATGACGAATTGGAAATTGCCCCCGTAAGTGAAACACGTCTGTTTATTCCGAGCAGTGGCGGAGCTACAGCACTTCCGGACCCATTTACACCATTCATCTTTCTCTCTCTCTCTCCGGCTCTATTTAATTATAAATTAAGTTCTCTTTCATATTCAATTGTTAAAGAATCTGCTTCATTTTTAATTAATTCTACAATCCACTCTTAATCCTATAACATTTGTTCATTTTATTTTTCGCATGTTTTCATATTTCTAAAGTAAATTATTTTAAATTACATTTTTTAAATCACACATCAACATATGTTTAAATACATTGCATTTTTCTAATTTTTTCATTTATGAAAAATACGTAATTTTTTGTTCTAGATATTTTTGTTACTTTACAAACTGCATAAACATGTTTCATATTTTAGATACTCTGATATAATTTTTCCCGTAAATTATATTTTAATTGATGTAATTACTTAATTGACATTAATAAATCTATATATATATGTTGTTAACTTCTCACTTGTAATGTATGAATCTTGTACAAATTTATGTTTTAACAGAATTAGCAAAACATGATTATCTTGATACATTTCTGTTATATTAAGAAATTTAAAGATGAATATTTCGAACATATATAAAATTATTCGATTAATATAATCGACACATAACAAATTCATCCAATTAGTAAAAGCATTCATTTTGATATCTAATTATTTATTTTTGCTATTTCTGGATAGAGATTCTCATTTCACGATTCGAGCTGAAAAATAAATGTGTCCAAGTAATTTCTATATTTCGTATGAAATTCTAAATAAAGTCTGGAATTAAAGATTTATCATATTTTACTAGTATAGGTACACATTTACAATTAAAATAAATTTATATTGTACAGAATTGGCTATTTCAAAATTAGAAGAGGATCGATTAAATAAATATTTTCTGTATCGAAGAAACCGTCAAAAATATCCGAGTAATAAACATTTAACGAATAAAGGGATTTTTCTGTCGCATGGCGTTTAATCGCATCCGTTGTTACTTAACAAAGTGTACGGACGTCTCGTCTCCCGACCGCGCTTAACCCGCTGTCTTCGATCTGTTTCGAGTATATTAGCTTCGACGCGAAAGGTATTCCTTAATTAACTCGGCCCGTACACTCGCAGCCGGTAAAAGGCGGTATATAGACGGTAGAAAGTCGGCGTAAGGGCGCCCACGTAGCACTCGCTTTTCATTTGGACGATGGACTCGGCCGCCGCGCCGATGCACTTTTACAAATTGCACGGTACTTGGACGAGGCTTCTCCCAAGGCTGCCGGTTTGGGATTTGCGGCGAAAGCCACGCCGCATAGGAAATTCTACGAGACCCGCCGAAATTCGGCAACAACTTACTTGTGCACCGTGGCGTGGCGGACCGATAAGTTTTTATCGCGAATAAGTTTCTCTGGCGCGAAGCGCGCTTCTGTTACTCCGTGAATATATATATATATATCTGCGACGGATGCGACGTGGATGCCAAGTTAGACGGGGTGTCAAACTTGGTACTTTCTCGTTAAGAAAAATCGTCCCTTCTCCAACATCCGCTCGAAGCATTTCTTTTCGTACAAAATATACGACTCTTCGCGCGAATTATATTAATTATATTAATTATATTAAGTAAGGTGACAAACCGCGGCAAACGTCATTTATAAATGTGCATGATTTTCGTGGTGTTGAATTCTCCCATCGCGTGAAGAAAGAGTTTGAATATAGCTATATATAGACGAGAACCTTTTTCCGGCAAAACTGTCTCTCAAAGCTTTAATAAATCGCGCGTTCTATTATTAATCCGTACATTGTCCCGACTCGCGGGACATATCCCGAATGGAATGAAATATTTCCAGCCGATATCTTTGATAATTTTTAGAATAATAAAATCATAAAAAATATTGCGTCAATGGTTCGTTCTCTCGAACGTGGCAATGAATAGGGAGAAAAAAAAACCGCGATAGAGCTAAAATTGCCAGTGGGCAATTTAAAGGATTAATTTTCCGCGAGTATACTGTGATAACCGCCAAGCAATTCGATCTCTCTCTCTCTCTCGTTATTGTCGTGAATTATATGGCAATTTTTTTCTCTCGCCCGGCGTTTGCCCGCAAATTCACTCCGCCAGACTCTTTGCTCTTTTCTCGCATCTTCGACCACCAACGGCAGGTGTGCTCACAATGGCAGGCAACGGTATCAACATCGGAAGAGGTGCACCGTGTGCGCGCTCGCTCAATGGGATACCAGGTACCAAACGTTATTCGGTTCGAGCTATAGAATACGGAAACGGGTACCTAGCATACATGCGCCTCAGAGTTCGTTGAAACATGTAATGAGAAATAGCGCACTGGGAATCGGGCCGCGTATCCGCGGAACGGAAATAGGAACGCGATAGAATTCGCTCGGATAACAACTTGTTCCGTTTCCACCGTTTCTGCCCGGGGAAGATTTTAATCACGACGTTATTGTTCATTCTTTCCACGGAAATTCGTCGTTTCATCCGCTCCGCGATAGCTGGAGAGGACGACAGAAACCGCGGTAAGAAGTTGGGAAATATACAAATGAAAAATAAACCACGCTCTGCGTGTTGACATTTGGACAAAATTGCGCGACAACAAAATGATTCATTTATTTCTCGATGAGACTGCAAAGCCGTAACAACAACCATTAAAACCA